TGCCATGACAAATGTCATGATTATTACATTTTTTATAATGGTAAGTATTATACGTACCTTTTAATTATCAATCGATGTACTGAACAATTGAAAATCATAACTTTCTAACATCAAATTAATAAAAAAATCATTCCTACCAAAATAGAATTTTATGTGATCGTACTTAGGTATATAGTGACCCTGTAGTGTCGTACTTAGTGCTTATATTGTAATTATATCATGTTCCTGGTTTTAGCGTGACACTGTTGCGTCGCGCAGCTACCCTAATTTTAATAAGGCTTTGACGAAAGAGGCGGACAACATGAACGTATATGAAGATATATGGGGTTGTTTCTAAGAAAAAGGTCATGAGTCACACATGATGATACAATAATTACTCAAAGATCACAAGTCACACGTGATACAACAGTTTATTCAATCGTGTATGAAGACGCAAAGTTATATAGTTTATTATAACAATGAAAGATAACTGTATGAGGACAGTTATAAGAATACAATAGAGAATTTGAAACTAGGCTATTAAGGGAACTATATATATGAAGATATATAGTTATTAAAGAGATGTCGAAGACTTTAGAACTAACTAGGCTAATTCGTGTCCTTTATATAACAAACGTGGCCATATAATTATATACAATAGACAACTATGTTACTATTGCTATCTATTGATCTATTAATAACTCATTCCACTATTCTTATCAACACTAATCCCTTCACTATTTCACGCGTAGAGCTTCGGGTCTTTGTCTTTAATGGGTCTTGACTCGGGCTTGATCAATCATGATCTTGATAATAGTTTCGTGGAAAACCCTTAAGCTTGTTTATTTCTTGCTCATCCGCATGAATGGCATGAGTGGGATAGAGCTTTTCATCTAAATAGTGGCGGTAATGAGGCCAATTTGGTATTATGATTATCGACGCAGTAGTTAATAGACCCTTTTAGGGACTACTATTGATGTTGCGGCATGTGTTGTCTCTACGCTACACATTACCAATATCGGGACAGATATGGTAACTAAAAGTGATGTGTATGGTTTAACAATTTGGGAAAATAGGGTCCTGTGTATGATAATACAGATAAGGGCAATATGAATGTTAGTAAGACGATCGTCCTTTGATCCTTAAAGATCATCAGTTTGGCGGTTCGAGACGATCTGTGTTGCGTATTAGCCTGTAACACTAATCAAGTTCTTCTTTGAGTTGTTGATAAGTGTACCACATTTGCTATATAACAGGGGTAAGTTCATAGTATCCCTGAAAATCCCATGGTAGTACGTAAAACAGTCATAGGGATATCGGAAGGCAATTTCCAGGTAACATCATAATTTCCGAAACACTTAAATTTACTGAATGATTTTTTTAGCTGATTTCTGATTAATGGTATTCTCAAGCATCTCAATCAATTAATTAAATGGGTGCCAGTAGAAACCAAGCAAATTGTTTCTAAGTAAATTTTTTTAAACCTTTAAAATAAAATATTTCAACAACTATTAAACCAAACTTTGACAAAAAAATTTTTTATTTTAATTCCATGTAGTTATAGAATTAAAATAAAAAAAATTTATCAAGTTTAGTTTAATAGTTGTTGAGATATTTTGATTTAAAATTTGAAATAAAAACAATTTTCTTGGTTTCTACTTGCACCCCAAATAATAAACATGGTAACATTCAAGCATCACAATCAATGACGATATTTATAAAATTAAATGCTTGAGTGTACTCTTTCTATTTTTTATATTCTCCTCTACGACTCCTAAAAATCAAATAATAAAATTTTTTATTCAACCATCTGTCAAAGCTTCAACTTCAGTTTCACTGACTTTATCTTAATGATTTTACCAATTAAATTTTTGTTGCAACAGTAACCGAATCAACTTATGGAGTCGTTGGCGAAAATTGCTTTGTGAAAACAAGTAAATTTTTTAAAAATTTCTTTTATAGGTTATCCATAGTAATTCTGCATATGTAATTTCGCATTAAAAGTATCATAGGTAATATGAAAAGTTATAGCCTTCATTATTCGTTAACTACTGTATATAAAAACATCAACCCAAAATCCTTCAATTTTTAGGTTATCTTGCTGAAAATTTATTAAATTTTGTGAACGAAAAACGAAAAGTGATATTCACTATAGTTTGATTAAAGGTTAAAAGATGTGTTGCATTTATTGCGTTCATACCAAGATATCGATTATTTGCTTTAAAAGCTTCGAGCATTAAAAATAAATTATCTATTTTTTTTTAGTTCGGATTGAAATTTGTTGAGAATTCATTGTTTATCATGCAAAAAATGCAAAAGTAATGCTTGAGCGACCTTTATTAACGGTAAATTTTTAAAGAAAAAAGATGGTTTGTAGCTCGATGACCTGATCATCGAAATGGCTGCTCACTTAGTTAAATTATTCAATTTCCGACTAATTAAAAATTTTCCTCCGATCCATTGATTAATCAATAATCGACAAAATTTATGATTGATGCAGAACACATATAATCAAGCATTTACAATTAAAAAATTAGTCAATTTAAAAAAAATATATCATATTTAATAAGTTTATTCAAATGTATACGAATAATAGGTGATATTAATTGTCACATCTAGTAATTTATGAAGAATAAAAATTTTCAATAGATCACGGTGTGTGGCAATGAATATGTAGTCTCATCACTATATAAGAATAAAAAAAACTTATTTTAAATAAATTTAGAATGGTTCTTATTCGATTAAAAACATTATTCATGAGCAAACTACTTTATTAACGAAGAACGACAATGTTTACATCAGTGATATTACTAGAGTATATATATTCAGTACACGTCTAGAGATCTAGTGATACATGATTTATAATAAAAAATCTAACAATAAAATATATAATTTTAAGTACTTACATAATCTAAAATATACATTCAAAGGAATTATTAATTCAATTAAAAAAAAAGTCAATTAATCAAATTTCTTAAAACCCTTATTGCTCAATGATATAAACTTTAGACCATCAATTTTTTCCCAATCTGAAGCGTTAGCAGCACTAGCTTCTGAATAATCCAATGTATTTAATATTGCTCTACCAAGATCCATTTGCCTAACAATCTGTTTAATTGATAATGATTTCGCATTTTCACCATTTATAGTGGATGCAAATAATAAGCATAAGAGCATTATTAATAATATCATGGTTATACAATATTGAACACCAAAAAGTATGTCATAACACGTCTTTTCTATCATAACCTGAATGGGACCACTTATCGTAGCTTGACCAGTCGGTGTCACCATATTGACCAAGATATCAGTCATTTGTCGTTGGAACATACTACCCATGCCTTCTTCAGTTGTGCCTTGGTCTTTCCATTGTTGTAATAAAGCTAAATTTCCAACACCATCTGCCCGATAACCACTTATATATTGAGAGTTCAAGCTATTAGCCATGATGTAGCTCGCTATACCAGCAACACCGGCAGATTGTGCATCACCTGTACTTCCCAATAGAAACGAACTGCCTGCTGGTAACCAAAGACTATCTTGGCTTACTATCATGCTATTATTTGGAATGTTTTCTCCAGGTTCAACTCCACCCCACCAAAGGTCCATGTCAGTAATATTGAGGCTAGCATTTTCAATGTACCAATTCATTGGGACTGTCTGTTTGCCTAACACATTAATATCGCCCGTCGAGTTAGATTGTACATTTATTATCTCTACACTGGCCTTAACTGCTGCTGCACATCCATATAATGCTTGCTCAATCCCTCTTTCAGTAATATTAGGCGGTCCAAACACTGTCCAACAATGGACACCAACTATTTTATCCCTAATGGTATCTTGACCACCAAAACCTGCACATAAAATACTGGCTTCTGTTACATTCGATGTAGTGACGTTAAGTGGAAGATTACCAGTATTAATAGATTTCGGATCAATAACAACTTCAACGTCATTAAAAACATTCGATTCAATAAAAGTCCCATTAACTGTCATATTCAATTGCTGTCTAGCAATGAATTGTATTATCAGACTATATCTAATGCTTCTTGATAAAAGATCGACGTTTTGACCTTCGTCACCAAGTGGATATAATTGTGGAGGTTGTGCATCATCTTTATTAATGATGAATTTGTCTACCCAGCTAAATGTTCCATTTTGCCATGTGATTCGAGTAATATTAGTTGATTTACAACTAGCATAAGGTTGTAGCCATAGACCTTTAATTGACCAGTTATATCTTTTACCGACCTCTTGCTTAGGTTGAATCGTATGACTTGCTAAAAATCCTCCATTATCATGATCTACAACCATTGTATCAACAATACCATATTCAGTTTGTGCACTTGTCACTTCACCCATCATAAAATCATATACAGGAAATGTGATATTATCAACGCCACTAGTTTGCAATAAACGATATCTCATTGCTGTATGACTATACGTCTTATTAAAGTCCTCCGCGTATGAACTATTGACATGATCTCCGTCTATCATTCCGGGACATGGTAGCCTGGCAAACAATCCACATATTCTAATTTGTGACAATTGATTTGGAGTAAATGTGTTATTAACCGCACGGCTAAGTATATCTGGATTAACAACATTAGTTTCTACTGATGTTAAATTATACATTACAGTACAGGTTTGAATGCCAAGAGGTGCAATTACAGATACTCCAAACAATGCTAATAAACATATTCCAATAAGTATATATGCCACATTACGTCTATGTGTCCCTACATTCCATAATTTAATTCCTGTTAATACAGGTTGCCCCGCTGCTCCATAAAAATTAAATATATTACGTTCTGTTAATTTACTTAATGTAGTCCATTCTAAAGCTGTCATTCTATCACTAACGTTCATCATTACTATCGTAATTCCAACTCCAGTAATGATAATAGGTAAAAAAAAGTTACCGCGTAATAACGCTCATGAGCGTTATTTAGAATAATGCCCCGAATTAAGCTTAATTTGGGCCAAATTTGAAATTACACCCCTGCGCGTTATTTCGCGAAAATACGGTAATAATTCCGAGTATCGCCGCTAATTGACCGGCACTCAAATTGACTATCAAATTTGTCATTTTGGATATCTCTATCCTATTTTTAGATTATAAGCCTTTAAGTAATGTATTTAAAGGTTATATTTAAAGGAATGTGTTTAATATACTTGATACTTTCTAAAATTCATGCGAAAGAGTTTTTTTAAATAAATACTTTCTGTGCTTGTGTCATAATTTGAGAAATTTTGATCCTTCAATTTACGCTATTCCTAAATTGTGAATAAATTTTATTCAGATTACTTTATTTAGATCTTTATTGCATCATGCTTTGCCTAATGTAAAAATCATTCATGCAGATTTATTATATGAGTGCATGAGACTGAAAATCAGGAAATAAAATTTATAATTGGTTAACTTTTGTTTCCTGGTTTTCACTCTCACGCACTCATATGCAATATATTAATTATCGGGTATATACAAATTTACCTTTATTTGATGCCGTGGCACAAAATGTTAAAGTACTGTACTACATGATCGAATATGTGTCACACACATATTGTATTTTGCACGTTGTGACGGGGTAAAATCGTGATTTGGGATAAATTTTTCTGTAAATAGTCGATTAGATGCATATTTTCTGGTGAATGTGGCACATTTATTTCGTTCAAATTTGTACTGTGGTTCAAATTCATATCCAACTAAGCCGGTTCAAATTTGTACCCTTCGTCTAGGCTGGTACTATTTCGTACCATGTCTTTTAAATTTGTACGAATAGTATCTAAAAGATATAGTGAAGGTAGTAAAAGTTAGTAAATACAGCCATCAGATACGCAGCATTGGTCTAAAGTATTTAAGACATTTTGTTCAATAAAAGATAACTCAGTAGAATTAGAGTCTGTTATCCCGACTTTAGTGTTCCGCTCTAATCCCCAATAAGTGAATATTATATTCCCGTGATTCCTTAATAGAGCTTCATGACGTAACCTAGAGCTCTAATAACTCGGACTAAGTCTTCCACGCCTCTTTCGTAGCCTTCCACTTTTAGGGTTCAGATAGAGCTTAGTGCTTTAGTATAATATTTTAGATAGTAGTTGTGTTAGTTGGTATCCGTATTGCCCATATTTTGTAATTCCGGATTAGTCCTCACCCTCGCAACGTTCAAACGATGTTAAGATTTAATGCACACGACTCTGTTAATATCCAAATTATTCAAATGTCATCATTATTCATAAGATGATTTTTGCCTTGAAAACAAAGATATTGCATATTTATCATAAGTAAAGACGTGCCATACATAGTAATTCTTTTTTTTTGCATATAATATGCACAGTACGTACATATAGTATATTATGAGTAACTTGCACCTACAATTTTATGCCAAGCTTTCTTAAGAGAGCTTATTATTTGATTGACTAATGCTGTTGTTATGGATCATTTATTTAGTTACCGTATTTTCGCGTAATAACGCGCAGGGTGTAATTTCAACTTTTGGCTAAAATTAAGCTTAATTCGGGCCATTATTCGAAATGACGCTCATGGGCGTTATTACGTAAAATACAGTAGTTATTTGTTAGTTATTTAGTTTTTATTTGGTTTCCCTAATTTCAACCGATTGTAAGATTTTCTAGATCTCTATATATCTATATTAGCGCTAGCAAGAGCAGCGCCTCGAAGCACTGCGAAATAGCGCGCAAAATTTTTCACTTGTCGAGCAGTTGTAGAGTTATTACAACAAATATCCAATCAAATAAGCTTAGCTATTAATTATTCCAAATTATCTGAGGAAAATGTGGAGAAAGAAATTCAATTAAAAGCTGCTGAAGTTGCAAATTATACAAAGAGTCAAATTTTAGCAAATACATCACATGGTATATTTTTAGTATGCTGCTAAAAGTTTATTTTGATGATTCTAATTGATCTATTCTTATTGTAGAACTACGAACACCAATAGGTGCAATCGTGGGTATTCTTTCCTGTTTTGAGGTTGCCACTTTAACAGCTGTTCAAATGGATATGATTAATATCATATCAAGTGCTTCTGACGTCGTGTCATCCATAATAACCGATATTCTTTATGTAGCAAAGTTAGAAGCACAAAAAATCACACTAATAAATAGAACATTTGATTTGTTAGAATTATTTGAGAACATAATTGAGGAATTCGGAAAAAAAGCTGGTGATAA